ATGGATGGATGGATGGATGGAAACACATCCTGTTTGGACTTCAACAGACTGGAAAAATGAATCCAACTGTATTCTTTATCAATTTATTAATCATCATGGCTAAAATTCACTTACACAAATGCAAATTTGTGAAGAGAAAACCAAAAAAAAATTTTTTTTTTGATTGAGCTTAAACAGTATATGACTACAATTAGGCCTTCTAGAAATCAAAAAGCCATAACAACAATATGGGCTTGCTCCCAACTTGGAATCTTGGATGATTTGTTGCTTTAAACTGATTTTAACTTGAGGCTTTCTGGCACCTATTTTCTATAATTATTATTATTTTGTTTTATTAATTTATATATATTTTTTATGGAAGAATATTATGGTTTTTTTTCTCTTTTCATCATGTTTTAAAGTTATGCTCCCCCTGGCATTTTTTGTTTTTGTTTTTTGTGTCATGTACACGAGTATATTATGGTTTTTTTTCTCTTTTCATCATGTTCTAAAGTTATGCTCCCCCTGGCATTTTTTGTTTGTTTGTTTTTTGTGTCATTTACACGAGTATGTTCTGTTCAAATAAAATTAAAAAAAAAAACTTATTCTAGCTCTATTTAACCGGTCTTCGTTGTCCTCTATAACATAAAGTCATGATTAAAAAGAGAACAACAGCTCATCTAACAGTTTATACAGTCAAATTAACTGATATTAGCTTTGAAATGGTTGCTTGCTGATAATGTTAGGGAAGTAAATAGATATGGTTGAATCAGATAGCCAAGCTGCGTTATTAAGTACAGACTGGTAATCCTTGTAGATTAGAGTTATTGTTTAATATGTATCACTTATTGATCCAGCAGCTACATAATTAAAACTGTTTTGTTAGATTTGTCTGGATACCTGCACATGTAGGAACAAAAGGAAATGAAGAAGTAGATTTTTTTTAGTTAAGCAGGCCCTGAAATTAGATGCAGGAACAATGGGATGATCATGAGACTGGCACACATTTATATGATAGTCAAAAGACTGGTGGGGGGTAATAAAAGTAGGGATTATTTCACGTCTTGGTCATACAGGCATTAAAAGTTTTCTTTTTTTTAAGAGAGGGAAACATGAAAAGGGACTTGTAATTATTGTAATCAGATGGAAACAGTGGAACATGTTTTATCAGAATGTAGCAAATATTCAGAGGAATGTCAGCATTTGAAGCTGGTTTTATTAATATTTTAGGAGATGTGTTGGGAATTGATAAATTCAATTTTTTAAATACTAGGTTATTTATTCATATTTAAAATATGCATATGCATGTGCAAGTACATATACTTACACATGTGTGTGTATGCCATGGATGTGTATATACTGTATAACAGCTAGAGTGCTCAGAAACAGGTGAGCGTGTGATCAGCTGTAGAAGCTAAGGACTAAAGCTAAACAGTCAAGAGACTGGATTTACCATTACTGTACATGTTGGCTATAGAGCAGTAAAAAGGACTGACGATGTAGAAATCATTAAAACTATTAATGATAATATTAAACAAAATTATTGTTAATATTTTACAGTTAATCTATCTAATGTTTTAAATAATGTCAGAAAAGCTGTTTGTGTTATGGATTTATTAACAGAGGATAAACAGGAAAACGTCTAATTTTACAACACAAGTCAGCAGATTTGATCTTATTTAGCTCAATGTGATCTGAACAGAACATAATCTGACAGTTTAAAATTAAAAAAATCTTATAAAGTCAATGTAATCACTGTTATTTATTGAACTGGTTAAAGATATTAGCTTGTGGAGCACACTGTAATGTTTAGCACTGTTGAACCGTGCTACAATTTAACAAACTATTAAATATTACAGATGATTTGTCCTCTGATTAATATTTAGACCTACACAGTGTAAAATAATATTACAAATGTAAGTATTTTTAGGTTTCTGTTAGAGGAACCTGACCTGTTGGGAAGAAGGTTAGCTAAAGAGACAAGTTTCTGTTATGATCGGGTGAGTGAGCTCTGAATTAGTTCCGAACACAGATAAAGGTTTAACAAGTTTATTGTTAGAATTTGCAATTGGAGGTCGAGAACGGGATTCCGGCAGCAGCAGGTCTGCACACAGAGATGGGAAGTTAGGTTGGCACAACAAGATTATATAAAATAATATAATACACCAACCTTCTCAGGAGGGACTGGGTCCAGGTTGAAACAACAGCCACGGTGTTTTGGTTCCGGGTGGTGTTGTTAGTGGAGGTACTGCTGCTGTGGGGTTTACTCAATG